ATTTATTAATAAACTTGGGTTCTGAGCGAACCATATTTCTTGTGAAACACTGTGTGACACTGTTTAAAGGATTCTTGATGAATCTCTTCTTGAATATTTCTTTATTATAAATCATTTCTTTAATTCTTTCTTTGGGAATTGTCCTTTTAAAAGCAATTCCACTTGGATATACCAGTCAAATATAAATTTGATCACAATATTATTAAACCATATAAGTATAATTAATAAGAGCTTATTTATATTTTATTATTAATATATTTTATATCTATTAATCAAATATCAAGTAGTATTGTATTACTAAAAATTTAGAATTAAACTAAAATAATTATAGATAACTTTTTATTAATTAACTTGATTGGAAATTTTTTATAAACTTTTAAAGAATAATTTTTTAAAGAATAGTTTTGATAGATTTTTCTAAATATATTTTTTAATAATTCCAACTTCTCATTATTTAATTATAATTTATCTAATTTAATTTTTTGATTTTTAATTAATTGTTCTAATAAATTGATTCTTGTATATTATTTTTTTTTAATATTTTTTTATTTATTAAAATCTATTTGAATTAATTTAAACTTTTTTAAATAAAATATTTAATTGTTTAAAAAATTTTTTTAAAAATAATATTAAATAGATATAAAAAATTTAATTAAAACTTATTTTATAAAAAAAAATTTAATTAAAAATTATTTTATGAAATTAAAATATTTTTATTATTACTTTATTATATTATTTCAAATAAATATATTTTAAATTATAAATAAAATTATGATTTATTTTTTCAAAAGCTATAATATATAAATACTTAAAAATAATTATAATTTATTTGTAAAAAAATTTTAATATGGCTATAATAATAATAAAATGTTAATTAAAATTTACGAAACTTTTACTATATGTATATTTTATTGTTCTTATTATGTTTACTTAATATGCGAAAGAGATATGATCAAAAAAGTAAAGAGTTTAATGATCACTTACTTTTAAAAAAGTTTCGAAAACCCCGGTGTATAAACCGGGACCCGGAAAATTTTTGACGATCGTAGATCATCCACTAAATGTAGCACGGCAAACTTTCGACTTGTCTTACTTCGACTTGACTTTTAAACACCACAAAGAAGAGCCTATTACCCTATCGTATGATTTCGTAGGGAATAAATTTACTTTTACAAACGGTTTCAGGAATATTTTCCGTATTTCTAGTTCCCTTATTTTTATTTTCTTCGTTTTTTAATATTTTATTAGATTCTGATGATTCAGATAAAAATTTTTGTCATTTGCCATCTTGCGAAAGCCCATATTTTTTCTCGAGATTGAGATTAGGTCTCGTGAACTATTTATTTCAAAGGGCGTTGAGCCCATAATTTTTTCACGAGATTGAGAATAGGTCTCGTGAACTGTTTATTTCAAAGGGCGTTGAGCCCATATTTTTTCACGAGATCGAGAATAGGTCTCGTGAACTATTTATTTCAAAGGGCGTTGAGCCCATATTTTTTACGAAATTGAAAATGAGTCACGTGAACTATTTATTCACACTTGAATATGAAAATATCTCTGAGACGAGTTACTGAAAGGCACGACTCTTCCTGATGAAATTTCCCACATAATTATTCCAAAAGAGCAAATATTTGATTCCACGGTATATGGATTACCACAAAACTTCCGGTGCTATTTACGGTAAAATTCCATAAACTCCATTATATTCTGTTCCCAATCTACTCAGTATTGAACGAGCTTAATCTGAAATGTATCCACTATTCAGACTACCTTGTAGTACATTACCATTATGCAAATCTCGGTGAATCGAAAGAAATGTAAAGTAATAAATTTATCTTTTCTTTTTATTCCATTTGCGCAATGTGACAAAGATTCTTACGCAAAGATCCTTCTTGTGCATAATCCTTAATGACAGTGTAATTATCCGAAGCCTTGTCCCTTGATATCCCGTAGCATTTATGAATATAGGATTTTCACATATCCCAATATGCTTTCATCTTGTATTAAAAAATTATTAATAAATGCATCAAAGATATTAAAATAAATATTTACCTCCTTCATGAGTTCCTTGTGGCTATTTCCTGATCTGTGAAGCAGTTTGAGCGCAAAATTGATCGATTTCCCTCTACGTCTAGTAAAAAGGACAGTCGCAAATCCACCTCGTCCTATCTCGTCGATATCATTATACTTAATATATGAAATATGAGTAATAATTACCTAGTAATGAACCCCTCCGTCTATACCAACAAGTAGCCGTTTGTGAATTTCTTTTACTCCGATCCCATTTCGATAAAATCCAGAAGTGCGTGAATTTCCATCAGTATGACCCATCTAAGCTGATTTTTGGAATGCCTTATGTTCATCCTTTTCCAACTCCCGTTACAATTTTCATAGCGATAACTAACATTATACATCCCACTTGTATGACCCATCTCAGCAGATCTTTGATAATGCTCGAATGCCTTATGTTCGTCCATTCAACTCCAATTCCTTTCTCGTAGCAGCATCCGACATTTTACAGTATATACCCTTTACACGACCCATCTCAGCAGATTTTTGAATGCCTTATGTTTATCTTCTTTAACTTCAATTCCACGAAGACAACATCAAACGTCCCACTTACATGGCCCATTTCTGGTGATATTCGAATGACTTCTGTTAATCCTCAACATCCGGTTTGCACATGTATACGGTATTTGTAATTTAAAATTTTTTGCCTTTTATCTTTGACCTTGCGTTAAGGTGAAAGTATTGTACGAGTAAATTTTTGTATTCAATTTAATCAGTGAGACGCGTAGATTCATTATTAGTCTTTGACTTTTGGTTTCTAAAGGTAACTTCCCTTTAATTAAATTTGAATCTCTTTCGTGATAAAGTCAAATAATTAGCGCTTGGCAATATTTCCGCTGCTGTAGAAAATCTTAAGTTCGCATTCTCGACAGATTGAAGCATTACGAATACTTAGGAGAAACAAGATTATCACTTCAAAAGAAAAAATCATTACTATTACGTAATATACTTTATTTTATAATGATTACCAGGATTGAGGACTTGAGACTTCATTAGGTGTGTGCATCAGCACGTTTATTTAATATTATTCTCAGAAAACAATTGCAATTTATATCATAAAAGTTACATACAGTATACTGTACGTGCTATGTATAAGTTTCTCACCTGTATTCGCATCAGGAATATCAAATGTTTGTCGTCTCTTATGCAGAGAAATCCAAATTTTTGTTTAAAGGGCAATTCGGTTTATGACTGCTCCATTCAGACAAACATCTAACTTCGGAGACAAACGAAACTTACTTAGTTTTGTTTGAATTATAGATTATATTACAAATTTAGAAAAAAGAAAATATAGTACCTACCGCCAGCAAAATTTGTACCCACAGCCTCCAATTGTGCAAACCATGTAATTACATCGTCCGTTCTTTTCGATATGGACACCACACTTAGGACATTTTTTTGTGTTCGTTCTGAGATAATTCTCAGTTTCTTCATCAATTTCATTATCATCACTAGGCTTACAGCAGTTGTTATCTTCACTAAAAGTTACTTTGTGGACATCATAGCATGTTTTTTTACGGCAGCTGTAGCACGTGGCAATAGGCGTTTCTCCTTAATAAAAAATGATATGTTTACTATTAAGAAAGTAGTTACCGTAAATGTCATCAAAGAACTTCGGTAATGTATACCTTTTCCTGTATGAATCTGGCCGGCACCACATTTTGCATTACACCACAAGAAATTGGGGTCTTTTTCAAGCCGACGCTGTAACAAATTAATTTCGTACCTATTGAAAGTAGGAAGTTTGAGTGACATGGAAGAACGCAAGTATTGTACAACACTGTGTTTTTGACAAGAACCTCAGAAAAATTTCGGGAGTAACAATATTCTTAACATCATCGTACTCTATTTCTTTGTTGCAGTTATCGAAAGGGCATTTCAATTCACCAATACCATTATTGTCCAAATATTTCTTGTTTATTTTTTCAATGCAATTAACGCAAACAGGATTCATGTGTTCGCAGCTGCGAGTCAACTTTCTAAGATTTTCAGATGATACTAGGTCAAAACAGCATTTGCAGGATTCGAAAACTGCCATATCGAGAGACAGAAGAAATCGATAAATTCCTAATATACAGTAAGGGGAATATTTCTTGATCATTGAACGAGCGCAATATTAATAATAATTTGGTTTGAACAATTAACTTTCATCATTAAATCAAGATTCAGTGACTTTCGCCATTTTGTCTGAGGACTGATCATTTAGACTTTTGCCTATATGCATATTATTCAAAGTAAATCAATCTTTCTGTGTATAGAAGTTAAATATTTAAACATTAAAAGTGCTTAAATTCCTTCATGATAGATTTATCGCTGAAAACGGTGAAAAAAATTAGAGATGAGAATTCATATCATGCGCCTAGATGGAACGCGCTTTACTCTTGGTAATGTTAGACCCGAGGAAACTGTCATGAATATAAAAAAAAAAGGTACTTCAGGGCGAAGGTGCGTTAATTTCTTTTTTTATTTGTAAACTAAATGAATGCTTTCATGTAATATCTATTTATTATAGCTATTTCCCCAGTCGATACACTTTTAAAGCATAATGACAACCTCCTTCAAGATCCATATCCCTTGTCCGACTACAGCATCGCTAACGAATCTACACTCATTCTCTATCAAATATTCCATGTTCATATTTACACGTCTCCCTCTGATAAGATTGACCTTTCAATCTCATCGACTGAGAAAGTTCCTGACCTAAAACAAAAAATCGAAGAGCGCTTGAGAATTCCCGTTGGTCACCAAATTTTATACCGTGGTGATATTGAACTTGAAGATCATCGCACCATCGCCAAATGTGGTATTAAGAGTGGAGATAATATTTGTCTGATTCACCGTTATTCTGGAACGATGCAAATTGATGTCAAAACCTTTGAAGGCAAATCGATTGGAATTTTCACTGTGCCCGATGAAAAAATTTTAAAGATTAAGGAAAAGCTTGATGAATATATAAATACGAAAGTTGAGAGAATAAAGCTAATTTATAAAGGTAAAGAGCTTATCAACGAACTTACTGTTAAAGAATATGGTATTACCAAGAATAGCAAAATTTATCTGGTTGCGAGACTGCCTGGCGGCTAATCAAAGGTATTATAGTTTTGTTCTTTAGAATAATGCGGTGATATTATTTTTCATGTGATTATATTTCGATAAACATAATGGCTCCACGGATTCATAGAACTTTGTTCATTTTGAATTAGCAATAAAACTTATTCGAAATATAAAAAGAAAATCAGTTCCGCACGCAATTAAATTACTAAAGCGTCTGGCCATAATTCATGGTTATTTATATTTTAAAACTATGATTTTATTATAATTTAAGAGCATAATATAATTGCAAATATTAATAAAAACATATAAAGAATATCTAAAAAACTTTTAAATTTAAAATTAATATTTTGTGTAAAAACCTTTGTCATTAATAATAGCATTTATTCTACATTCCATATTGATTACAAGATTTTAATATGTTTTTTGTAAAATATTTTTTTATTCCTCCTTAAGAACTTGTTTTAAACCTTTTAAAGCTCTAGGTAGACATTTTCTTTTGCATGTATATCTATTAAGTTCATCCCAGATATTTTCAATTGGATTACAATCTGAACCTTTTGCAGGTCGGAATATAATATCAATATTCATTTATTTTTTTTACCATTCTACATAAGCTCCATGATATGCAGATATATTATCTTCTTGTAAAATATATTGAATACTATATGTTGCTTGAATTTGTTAATAATAATTATAAAATACTTTATAAGATTATTAATATATATATCTTATGTAATACTTTCATCAATAATTACTAGTAATCCAAGTCCATCATATTAAAAGAATCACAAACTATAATAAAACTATTATTACCTTATTTTTTAGATTATATATAATTAATAAAATATTTTATATTTGATTGGTATTAAACAAATACTATATATATATTGATAATCTATAATAATATCATAATAGCTTGTCTTTATTGAAAAATTAAATAAAATCTATAGCAATTTACAAATTCTCATAAAGTAATTAACTTGTCATTATAAATAAGTATTTTAAGTCAGATTTTGAAAACAATATTATATTTTCTTGATATAGTTAAATAAGCTTTCGTTTATCAAGATTATTATCAATAGTTTGTTACTATTAATTAATTTAAAAATCAATAAATTTCTAAGTTAAAAGAAAAAAATATATTTAAATAAGAAAAAAAAACAATTCAAAATCTTATCAAAAAAGTTAAAAAACAAAATTATTATTTTCTTAAAAGGTTCATCTAATTAGTATAGTCTTTTTGCTTTACTTGAATTATAAAAAAAATCTTTTTTTTACTATTGATAGTATCAGTTTTTCCTTTAAAAAAACTTTAGATTGAGATATATCCAAAAAAACATTTAAAACTCAATTTTAATTTATTAAAGCTTTGTTCTTATCTAAAGAATTTAAATAAAAAACAGGAGTTTACAATTTATATTGTTTATCTCTTAATTTTTTAATATTGTAAAATTTTTTATTAAGAAACTTAAACTTTTAAAAGATAAAAATTTTCAAAACATTCTTTCTAATTATTAATAATATTATTATAATATATAAATATAATTAATTAAAGCTTGTTTATATTCTAAAAACCAATATATTTTGTATTAGTCAATTACTTTTAATGAGAATTTGGGTTACTATAAATTTAGAATCAAATTAAATAAGATAAAATTCGTTAGAAATTGTAAAAATAATAATTTTAAGAGGACTAAGATAGTTAAAGAAAGAGAAAATATGTCTTTTACTATATAAAATCTCTATAAAACTTTCTTTTTAAAGATTAAAAAGATTATTATGTATTTTACAATTAGTTCTTCTTTCTTTAAGAATATTTTAATTATTGAAATTAATAGTATTATCTAACTTTTCTTGGCTACTGAAAGTCAAGTTTTGAGTAAAAAGATTTATAAACAGGAAAAGATAAAAATAACCTTTGAAGTTATATTTTAAGTTATTTTAAGAAAAATATTAAGATTTTTTAGCAAAAAGGTATAAAAATTTTTTGCAAACATTTTTTTATATATAATTATTTTTTTTTTATTAAATTTTTTTTTTTTTTTTGATAGTCTCATGCCTAACTTTATTATTTTTTAAATTACATATATACATTATGCAAAGCGTGTACAGGGGTATATATTCAGTGACTATAAAGATAATAATAAGCTAAAGCTATTTCTAAAGCTACCTCAAGGCTTATTGCCCTTTCTTTAACAAAAGAAAAACCAGCATCCCTAGAGCATGCTGGTGTCTAAAATAATAATAAAAGGAAAATAAAATTGGACGGTCATATATCATTTTGGGTGGGTATCAGTTTTGTTTCTTGACCTATGCCTGTCTTGTTCTGAACTCCCTTGTATAAAGGCCTAGGGAGAGATATTTCTACTGAATATTTTATAGAAATAAGTTGGAGACCATTAAGGAGACTTTATAGTTTTAAGTTTTGTAGGGAGGGAG